CTAACTCAATAACAAAACAAAACAACAACAAATAAAGTATATAGACTCCAGAGTCCAATGGCTTCAGTTCAAATGCTTCTACCACTGAAGTGAACTTGGACAAGTCATTATCATACTGTGTTTCCATTGTTCATCTGTCAAATGGGATGATACTAATGGCATTCACTTCATTCTTTGGGGAAGGATTAAATATGTTAATATTTGTCAAGGGCTTAGACCAGTAACTGGGCCAGAGCCAGTGCTATGTAAGAGTTTGTTAAATAAATACAAAGTTCTTTTCCTCTTGTAGTGAGGTGCTGGCTTGTGGAGGAAGACTGGTGGCCTAGGAGGGTGGGGGAGAGGGGACAGACTTTTTTTTTGCAATTAAGGCAAAGCCCAAGAATCAGAGGAACCCTATAGAATCAACCAAAAGGGAGTGGTGGTCAGGGAGACTTTTCTCTCCTTTGGATAGTTCCAAAGAGGACTCACGAATGAATGAGTGAGTGAATGATCAAAGCCAGAGGAGGTTGTAGGAGAAGATACAGCTTGGTAGCCTCTAATTCCCAACAAAGGAGTTGGGAACATATTTACCTAAAATGCTTAACATTTATTTTTAAAGAACCAGAGGTGTGGCTCAGGGTTGGCAGAAGTTGTCCATCAATAATCCTGAACCCCCAAATGAGGGGCTGGGGGAAACCCACACTCTGTGAATCCAGGCCGGGCTTTCAGTCTTACCGGTGACTTTTTTTTTTTTTTTTTTTTGTGCCAGGAATTCCTGTCCCACGTGGGGTGGACTCCGAGGTACTCAATTAAGCAGCCAATGAAAAGTCAGCTCTCCGGTAGCAAACGTCCCTGACACTTCTTGTAACATAAACAGTTGAAACGTTTCCAATTAGAACTGGAGACAGAGACGTTTGAACTCTCTCTCCACCACTCCCCTCCTTCTTTAAAATAATTGTCAAGCGCTTTGGACAGGGTGTTGTATACATGTTTTTTTTTTTTTTTTTGATTTTTAATTTTCTTTTCTTTCTCGAGCAGAAAAGAAATATACTTTTTTTTTCTCCTAGTTTTTCCTAATGTGCAGGGTGGCAGGCAGGTGAGGGGTAGAGCGGCGGCGAGGGGTGCTGGCCTGGTTCATTACCTCCCTGTCCCTTTTCCTGCTCGGGTTTGGTGGCCTGGGAAGGCTGGGTACGGTCCCCACAGCCAGATCCTCAGACAGGGCTAGGGATGGATGGATGGATGAATGAATGAATGAATACACAGAATGAATGTTTTTTCCTTAACCAAATGCTCGCAGACCCTGCTAGTAAGTCAACGAGGCCCTGAGGTTGGCTGTGTAGGCAGCTGCTCCGGATTCCAGTTCTGCCCCTTTGCCCTGTTTGGGGCAAATTACTAAGCTTTCTCTGTCCCTCTTTTGTACTTCTGCAAAATGGGCTACGAGCCAGGCCGTCGCCCGTGGGAGTGAGCAGAGAATGGATTGCGTGGGGCCTGGGCACCAGCGACCTTCTGCTCGGGGCTGCTCTTGCTGGAGCACTCTGGCTCCTGGGGTCTCCCGGAGCGCTGCTGTCGGGACAGGAGCGAGACTCAAACCTGAGACAGAGCACAGCCCGCGTAGACGCGACCTGGGGTCGTCGTAAGAGTTGGCGGAGACCGAGAAAGGGACCTAGGCGAGGCCCGCGTTCAGGGCATCTTGAAGGCATTGCATTTAATAAATCTGGGCGATACGCACTCCGCTGTCTTCCCCTACGGCTCCCAAATCGAGACCTGCTGTAGGACCCCTAGTTTACGGGTCTTAAAACCTCCTGCACTTTGATTAGCAGCTTCAAAGAGCTCCCTTCAAAGTTCGCTCCCTGCCCCCACCTCCCCTTCCCCTCAGGCCTCCCCTCCCCACCGTTTTCGGCCAGCTAGAGCAGTACAACAAAACACTAAACGCTAGTTGAAGGGATGGGGGTGGGGAGTTTCAGGCTGCCTCCCGAAAGCGGGCCGCAGAAATTACCTATTGGAGGCGTGCATAAGATTGGAATACCGTGGCGTTGGGGTTTTCATTTCCTTTTCGTTTTTTTTTTGCCTTCTTTTTTTCCCCCCTTTTTTTTGTGTGGGGGGGTTTGTGTGTGTGTTTTTACCTTTTATTATTTAAATTGGTACGTTTCATTACTAGAGAGAAAAATAAAATATTCCTTTGATACAAAAAATCAAATTGATATTTAGCCTCTGCTTACTTTTTTATGCATGGCTCCTTTATACCACATGGTAGTGACAGATTGTTTGAGCTGGAAGGAAAAGCCATTCAAAGCTAATTAAGCAGCCATTCCAAGCACTATTTGCAAGCGGGAGGCTCAGAAGCCTCGGCATTTGTCAGCGCTCCCCCACCCCGCGTGGTTTTGACTGACAGTTCTGGCCACCGACTGACAGCGGCTGGCAGCTTCACCAATCAGGAGCAGAGAACCTCTCTGGCTGTCTGTGACTGGTGCTTTGGAGTTGCTCAGGGGCGTGGCTGACGTCCCCCACGTGGGCACCAGAGAGCGAAAGGGGCGGGGCGGGTATGAAGCGGGTGCGCCCACCCGTGACGTCACGGGGAGGGCAGAGAAGGAGGAGGAGAAAAGGAAGCTCTAAAGAGGAGCCATTTTGTGTCTAATGAATGCTGCGGCCAGATGCTCGCATCTGTCGACCCGGGCTTCTCCCTGCCCCCTCTTCGGTGCGCACCGCACACGATTTATGTTTTTATTTAGCAGGATAAATAAATGGAGGAGCGCGGTTAGGGCCGACGGCCGGAGCGGGCGCTCACGTGTAGACCCAGCACCGGCCTCCGAGCGCCCGCGCGCTCAGCTCCTCATTAAGATGAAAAGCGAACCTCCGGCTCCTAAAGAGAAGAAAATATAGATCCAAGGGCGCACGCCCTCGCCGAGCGGCCGGGGAGTGACCCGGGGGCCACCAGGCGGTGCCCTCTCGGAGGGCTGCTGGCTCCAATTGCGTCCCCTAGTGTGACTCCGAGCGCTGGGCGGCTAGACCATCGGGGTGCGGGGAAAGGCCCCGAAGTGGAGTGGGCTGCGTGACCGCGCAAGGGTCCGCGACTTGCGCAGGGAGCGCCCCAGGGTGCGTCTGTGCCTCCTGGGTCGTCGAGACAGGCATCCAAGATGCCACAGAGTATTGTCGCGAGTGGGCTGAGTAACCCGGGTAGGAACTCGGAGCTCGCCAGTGGCGACTCGAAGGGTCTAAATCCCATTCTCAATTCCAACCACTCGGTGGGACTCTGGCCTGGCGAGACTGTGGTCAGGACGTTGCTGTCCCTAGGGGAAGGAGCCTCTGAGGGGACCAGTTGCGGGGTGTGCCTGCTGTCGGGCGAGCCAGAGTGGCCCAGGCCGCCGCACATCAGAGGCGCTGTTTGTTTGGCTTTCTGAAAAGAAGGGCTAAGAACAAAGAAGCAAAGCTTGAGGCTCATGGGGAGGGGGCAGGAAAAAGGCCAAAAAAAAAAAGGGGGGGGGGACTCCCTGTATTTCTGAGTTAAAAAATTTAAAGGTCAGAAGCAACTTGGGAAGCCACCATTCTATGGGCCCTAAATCTTGTGAAGTGAAAACATTAAAGTGACAAAGTGATTCTGTTTGTTTTATAGTATCTAATTGGGCTGCTTTGCAGACCTAATGAGATTAGAGGGAGGAATCGTTTGCTGCCACTGCAGAATAAACTGATACATTACTACAAGCCACAGGTTTGGAGGGTTGTGTAGCTTGTCTTTTTTTCTTTTGTTGTTATTTCTCTGTCTTCTCTCTTCCCCCTCCCGTCAAATAATTATTTGCAAGAGATCGTGGGAAAAAAAAGAGGAGGGGAAAAAAATCCTAGCAGCTCAGGACTATAATATATATCTATTTATTATATGTCTTTCGGTTAATTCCTGATCTGAGGAGCGCTGTTTTTCACTCCCATGCGAAAGTCACCAGCGGGTAGGGCCTGATTGCTACTTTTCATGCATAGTTTTAGACACAAGAGGGCATTGTGACGTCGAGTCCAACGATGTCCAATCGCAGGCCGAGTTCCGCTGCCCCACGTGGGGGTCCCGCGCTTCCATTGGCCAGCTCCGAGCAAAGCCGCCACATTATTTTGTTACTTTTCAGTCCCTATTTGGAACTGCTCTCGCGGCAGTTCAGACCTCGTGCTCGTCTCTCTTGCCTGTCTGTGTGTGGTATCCGCAGGTCCAAGGCACTTTTTTGGGTGTGTGTAAGCGTGTGGTGTGTGTGTGTGTGTGTGTGTGCGCGCGCGCGCGTGCGCGTGTGTGTTGGGGTTTGTCCCGACGCGGAGAGGAGAGCCGGGCCGAGGGAAGGAAGGAAGCCGCAGCGCTCCCCGGACTCTGGCTGCGTCTCCTCTCCAGTATTCTGCCTGCGCGCTTCAATCGCTCCTCGCCGGGAACGCAGCGCTGGAGCTAGGACCAACGAGGACGCTTGACTGAGGCTTCCCGTGCCCGCTGGAGTTAGGATGCTGCTTTGTACCTACTGAGCCCGGAGTTTCTCTCCGCCCCGGGAAGGGCTTGGAGCGGCGGCCGCGGCGGCAGTAACAGATCGAACAGCAGGATTCTCTCGGAGGGGGGGGGGCGTCGAAGCGCCCGCGCCGCGCTCCAACCCGCATCCATCGGCGCTCCATCGGCCCCAAGCCGCCGCCTCCTTGCCAGCCTCCTTACTCTCTCGCCGTGAGCTCCTGGCCTCGCTGCCTCTGGGATCTGACCAGCCAGCCCCGGATGCTTGGGGCTGCCCTGGCGCGCCCCCCACCAAGCTCGACGCACTGAGCGACCCACAGGGGCTCCGCGCTTGCCCCTGGAGGGGCCCCCGGCCTCGGGACCCCGAGCCAGACCCGACGATGTCCGCGAAGCCCCCGGCTCTGACGCTCTGCACACAGCCGGGGGAAGGCGGCCGGCCGCAGGCCGCCGAGCCCTAGGCGCACAAAGCCCGCGCCCGCCGCCTGGCCTCGGTACCCGCCGACGACTTGCCGCCTGCTCCTCAGCTCTTTGTCTCCGCTTGGGGCGGGCGCCCGACTCTGGGATTCCGCTGCGAAAGCGGGGTGGGGGGGCCGGGGGCGAGCTCTCGGTTCCCCGGCCGCCCCCCGCTCGGGCTCGGCTCCCCTCTCCCCCGCACCTCCCCGGCCCGGGCTCTCGGCGCTTCCACGCTCTCGGAATCACGACCCCTCCTTGCCATGTATCCGCAAGGCAGACATCCGGTGAGTAATTGCAACTCGGTTTATTTAAGCATCTATCATGGCAGGGTAAACGAGGCAGTTTATCTGACACCTCCATTTTGCTTGTTGCTACCTTTCTGTTGTGTGTGTGCGTGTGCTTGGGCGCGCTCGGGTGTGTGCGCACACGCACACACAAAGGGGCCAGGGCGGGGGGGGGGTGCCGTGGAGAGGTGAGGGTGATTCAGCCCAGAGTCTTGAGGGGTTGCGTGCGGCCTAGAGGGAGCTGTCCACGCTCCCGCCCCCTCTCCTAAGTCTCCCAACTCGCCCAGCGGGTCTCCCCGCCCCCGCTTACTTGGGAATGGGGCCCTTCAGTGGAAGACGTGGGGAGCCCCCCAATCCGCGCCCAGTCTGGGAGCTGGAAAACTTGCGGGGATGGCCTGGGTGGGGAGGGTGGCTGCCCGAGGTGGGGAGGAGCCGGGGTCGCCGGAATCCCCGTCTGATGCCCCCTCCCCTCCTCCGTCTTGTTCTCGCCGGCTCCAGGCTCCCCACCAACCCGGGCAGCCGGGATTTAAATTCACAGTGGCTGAGTCTTGTGACAGGATCAAAGACGAATTCCAGTTCCTGCAAGCTCAGTATCACAGGTAAGGCTGGTGGGGGCGGCCCGGGGGCTGGCGGTGAGGGGCTGCCCGGAGCCCCTCTCTTGCCACTACCCCCCGCGGGGACAGAGCTGCCGACCCCGGGGCGGCGGGGCCTCCGCCTTTTGTTTCCCCTTCGGAGCGCGTCGCCTTAACCCCTGCCTGCCCGCGGTCGGCAGCTCCTGGCGCCGCCTCCGGGTGTGGTCGGGTCGCCTGTGGGTTTGTTGTGGCTTCCGGGGGTCGCCATCCAGCGACTGGTGCCGCCCCCTCCCCCTCCCCCCTCCACGGCCGGAACCAACCGGCCTCCCCGGCCGTGCAAAGTTTCGAGTTGTTCCAGCACCCCCTCCTCCCCAAGGCGGGGACCCCAGCCCCCAGTGCCCCGAAGGTAATGGTGTGCCCCCGGGATGTCCGGGAAGTGGTTCTCCGAGCCCTTCCGTGGGGCCCCGGTGGAGGCTGTGCAAGGCGCTGGCCTGAGCAGCTCCTCCTGCCCTCGCAGCCTCAAAGTGGAGTACGACAAGCTGGCGAACGAGAAGACGGAGATGCAGCGCCATTACGTGATGGTGAGAGGCGCGGGAGGGGAACGCAGGCTGGGCGCACGGGCGCCGGGGACCCCGCGGGCCAGCGGCAAAGAGCGGGGGAACAGTGCCATCCACGAGGGCTCTCCGCCCCACCAGCTTCCTCAGGCGCTGGCCACTGGAGGGGCGGGTGCTGGGGAGAGGAGGGGCAGAAAGAGAATCCCAGATTTCCTGCCGGGACCTCTGTGTTGGCTTTGAGCTCCTTTAATGTCTTTTGAGGGCCTCCCAGAGGGCTGGTTGCCCTATCTTGGCTAAGAAAGATAGGATTGGACGAGTCCGTGGCAGGGTTGGACACAGATCACTCTCGGGGACCTCCCGGGAGCCTTTGGAAACTTTCTGCCTGGCAGCCCTAGGATTTAGCCAGAGTGGGACAGAAAAGCCCTCCTTCCTCTGGATTTTCTGACGAGTGGGGGGACCTTTGGAAACTCTCTTCTTCTGTTTCCCACTTAGGGGGTTCCCCGGCTGAGTCTTCTGCCCTTGGACCCTAGGTAGACCATCTACACTGTAGCCAGAGTGTGTCCCAGCCAGTTTACATTTTCTGTTTCCCAGAGGGCTTGGGAGATACTTTACGCGCGCCTCTTTCTACATAAGAGGCCTTCCACACCGTGCTAAATAACTCTCAGAGGACAAGAGGGGCCCAGTGTACACAGCATTCCCTGTCGAGGCTGCCACCTTGTACAAACAGGAAAAATGGCAGGGACTGTGCCGGTCGGTGGGAGGACCTGGCTGGCGCTTCTCACTTCGGTGTATTATGATGTTGGTGTTGAAAAATGAAGATTTCTAGGTTGTCTGTTAATGGACATTCTTCTTATTTTTAGTACTATGAGATGTCCTATGGCTTGAACATTGAAATGCACAAGCAGGTAAGAGCGTTTTTTCATGTTATGAAAGCTATTTCAGCGTCTTGGAAAAAGAAAAACTTAAAACCCTTCTCTGTCCCTTCTGGTGTGAAAATCAGTTTGGTTCTTCTGTTCCTCCTGTTTCTCCTTGAACCAGGTGAATGGATTTAATCCTTGGCTTGCAAGGTGCTGAGGCTTTGCTGATTTCTTGGCCACATCAAGCTATCTGAGCGTGTGAAATTAGTACCACTGTTGGATCTTGGTAGAGAATAAAAGGACCAAAGGAAAAGTTGTACTTCTGTGAGCTGCTTTACAAACTCCTGAAAACCTGGAGGTGGCTGGCTGCTTTTATCTGTTTTAGTGGTGAGATTCTCAAGAGGAAATGTAGGAGGGTTTTTTTTCCCCCTTTTTCTTTCTCTCTTTTTTTTTTTTCTTGCAAAAATGTGATGTTCTGCCTTGATAAGATTAAACTTCAAGGGCCTCTAAAAGCCAGGCTCAGCTATTGAAACTTAAGGAAATGAAGCCACTGGTGGTTTAGGAATGAAATGTGACTTTTCTGCCTTACATTTAGGAGGCACTTTCTCATCTGTATCTTAATTTGAAGGCGGCCAAGTTCCCATTTTACCAAGAGAAGGAAGCTGGGGCTGAGGGATGAAGCCGACTTGCCAGAGTCAGCCAGGCCTGGCCTTTGAGATGGCTGAAGTCAAACCAGTTTAACTAGTGTGGTGTCATTTGATGGATATGTAAACTACCTCGTATTGTCACTTTTCTAATAACAGTATACCTCAAACCGAGCAAATACAAACACTGTTTATCTCACTGCATATCAGTAATGAGCCCCATTGCTAGGCTGGGCTGTGGGAGAGGCATGTTTGTATAGTTGTGTACCGGGGAAAGGCTGCCTATAATTTGGCTTGGCCCTTGATTAGCGTGGACTTGGCACGTATAAATGGCGCAGGCCGGTTGTTCTTTTTAACAATTGGGTGTTCTTGAAATCTCAGAAGGTTGTTGACTCATTCTAGCCTTTGGTGACCGTGACTTGAATGGATTTTCTGCTCTAAATTAACAGCGGTTTACAAGGTTTAAATTTTGCTCTTTAAAGGGGGCAGGACCCAGGGCAGGTGAGAAGGGCAGGTGACCCCGGAAAGTGTGCTGATTCCTGCCCGCTTGAGTGGCTTCATATAGAGGCTTTTGAATGCGGTTCTTCCCCCTCCTGGAGGGAGCTCCAGCATTGGGTGAAGGGCAGCCAGGAAAGGGCCTGAGTTTACCGAGCAGTGTGGGAATCTAGCCTGTGGCTTCCTAAGGGATTAGTTCCCCGGGACGGTGCATGACGGCTACCACATTTAAACTCCTCGGTCTGCAGAAATAAACAGATGCTGCCACTCTGTGAGTAGGAAAGATTTTCCTCCAGAGAACAGAGCAGAGCCAGGGTCTGGGCCACTCTAGGCAGGACTGACCGGCCTCACTGGTCCAGGAAAGAGGCATAAAATAAATGAAGCAGGTGGGGGTCCTGGGTGTCTCGATGACCTTTGCATATTATGCAAGGTGTCACTTCCTCCCTTTCTCCACCTCCTTTTTTTTTTTTCCTTTCCTGGGTGCTTAGTATCTTGGGTGTGTTTAAAGAGGGTAATTTTACCGAGGTTTAAAATTTATAGCAGCAGTTATCCTAAGAGCTTTGTAATTAAGGTGTAATGTGTCGCTGCATGTTGAGGTCTGCATGGGTGGTGTCCCCTTGCCTTGAGTGGATGCCTCTGGCAGAAGCTACCTTAGCTGGCCCCAAGCAGAGCAGTACACTGAGTAGTGCCAGGGATGCTCTGAACCCACAAGAGTTAAACATCATCATAACGCATTTGGTGGAAGAGCAGCTGTGTGCATCTGGGATTTCTGGCCTTTCCCCAAACAGTGTTCTCTTGGGGGTGAATGCCTGAGGTTTGTGGCTTTGTAGTCTCCTGTAATCCCCTCAGCTGCCAGTGGTGGATAGTGATTTTTTTTTTTGCCCTCTTTTTCTAGGTGGGGAAACTGAGGCTTGGGGTGTGGTGGGGGTGGGGGGAGCAAGAAGGCCTGCCTGGGGCTCAGATCAGGACTTCTGCCCTCTCCTAGCATAGATGGTTGCATATTTTGCATTTGCCTTGAAATGTGTTTGCCCTCAATGCAGGGGCCACCCCCAGGCTCTGGCAGGCTGGGTTGGGTGAAATCACCCTGTGGCTGTGTAGGAACAAAGAGCCAGAAGGGTGAGGAAACCTTGCTGAGAAATGCAACCCTGACCTAATGGCGCCGGCCACTCCCTCAGTTTGGTTTGTGAGGGTTCTGTAGAAGAAAGCCCTGCCACTAATTGCAGCGTGGGTCTTGGGTGTATTTGGCGGATGGTGGTTAGGCCTGAGCAAACAAGTTTATCAGCTGACCTGTTTAGCGGTTGACTGGTGTTTTATCTGCACACACAATCAAGTGACTGGAGTGCTTGAATTATTCATGCAGTGTCCTGCCCTCTAGACTTGACTGTTCGTGTGATTACATCGGCCTGGAACAAACAGGCTGGATTCTTCATCTTTGAGCTTGGGGTGGGGGTGGGGACTGTCTGTACTTTTATATAATAGATGATCCACACAGCTAGCACCTTGGGAAGGGTGGCGGGGCTCTCAGTTTGCTTGCGCGAGACACACACACACACACACTTTCCCTACCACCACCCAATTTTTTTTTTTTTATTCTTTGCTGGCTTTCTGGGAAATGGTGATTAGTGGGGAACCTCAAGTTCTGCCAGATAGGCCTGAAAATTGACAGAGGGCAACTGATAAGGTGCGTCCAGCCTTTTTGCTTTTCCTGAGAGGTTCAACTCACCGTGGCTGACTCCTTCCCTGGCTTTCTCCCCCACCCCAACCCTCGACTCTCTTTGCAAGCTGTCAGATCCCAGAGAAGTAATAAATGGTTTCTCCTCCTCCTCTTCTGCCTCCCTCCCTAATTATGGTAAAGCAAAGATTACAGAATCACAGGCCTGACCTGGGACTTCAAGGGGTCACCCACCTCCTCTAAGCTCCTCTAAGCAGCATGTCAGAGGTGATTCAGAGAGGCCAGGGAGGGGATGGTGCTGACCAGCTCCTCAGTTTGCATTTCCTTCCTGCAGAGGCTTTGAATGCCTTCTACAACTGCAAAGCTATCTTACAGGCTGGGGACCCAGCACTTAACCTGCTTTGGCTTTGAGAAAGTGGGTCGCCCTGGTCCTTCGCCCGGTGTTGGTGATCGTGGTTGTTTGGAAACTGGACTTGAGGCCTTTTGATTTGGAAAAAGTATCGTACCCACCCTGGACCTTTTTCTGTGAGCCAAACAACCCTGTCTTTCAGTTTCTTTAGGAGTCCTGGAATGGAAAGAGCCCTTTGGCTTCTCATCCCAGTGTTTGAGTTCCCAAAGAGGAAACTGAGGCCCAGAATGAGGAGCTGGCTTCCCCTCTCCCAATCAGACTGACTTAGGCAGGCTTCCTAAACCCAGATTTTTAAATTGTTATTTTTATTTATTTATCTTTGGGCCCAGGAATCAAATTCATGACCTTGTGTTTTTTTTGCCAGCCAGCTGCTTATGCAGATCTTTTTGACAAGATCTGAGAAACGTAGGGTGCTCCTTTATTAACCGCTAGCACCCTGAGTCTTTAAAGGCCATTGCTGCTCTGCAGTATTATCTGAAGAGGCTAAGACTATGAACTCAGCTCCACCAAAGTCCAAAGTACCCCACTTGGATTGTATAACCGTATCAGCTGAACCCTCTGTCCACAGTCCTGTTCTAAATTGCCAGCTATTTACACAACTAATGATTTTCGATGTGTGTAGTAATAACACAGAATGCTTGCCTAGCAATCCCAGAGGGAGCGTTCGCAGCCAGGGATTGGTGGTAAAACCTGTGAACTTTTTATCCTAGCCACACGGTGGCCATAAACCCAGGGCTGAAGTAGGAGATGGGAAATCTCTGTCACTCCCTTCTCCTCCTCTCTAAGGCTTGTCACCTACGTAATAATGCAGGGCTCAGGTGGGAAGGCCTCCGAGCTGCTTAAGGATCTGTATCCTGGTAAAGCCCACCGGGCAGTGGGGTTCAAAGGACCCTGGGAAGGAGTTGAGTCTAGTTGATGGTAAGAAGGTAGAGCCTTCCCTCTAGGAGGAAAGGGTCACACAGGTCCTTAGACCAGGGCAGTGCCTGCTGGCCTGGCACTTGGCCGAACTGTGAAATGCATTTTGTATTCCAAGAGTATAGGAACCCAACTCCTCCCTGGTTTCCATCTGACTTTTCCTGCCTTTTCTGTGTCCAGTTGCCTCCTAGCTGCCTGCCTTGCTCACTTTTGGGGTCTGCTGATCCCAAAACGCCCTTTTACCTGCATTTCTGTGGACCACCCCCCTCTCTAGCTACCCTGGGCCTTTTTCTTGGGCATTTGGCAGTGGATATGACCGTAGGAGCCCAGTCCATGGTTCCTGTCTTCACTGTACAAGTCCAAGACCCTGTGCCTGGATAAGAAGCTGGCTTCTACCTCCACACCCCAACAAACTTGCTTCTCCTCTCCTTGGACTCCTCCCAGTGGACACCCAAAGGGCCTAGTTTACTGAGGGGCCCTGCATTTCCATTTTGTTGTAGCAGTGAGTCAGTAAGAAATAGATTCCCTTTTCCTTTCTGCATAAGAGAGTTTTTTCTGTCTCTTGTTTGTACAAAACACTGGGACACCAAGGGCCAAAGGGCTGCCGACTCAGCTGGCTTTCCCCTGGGATCTGCTGCCCACATGCCTTCCTCACACCTCATTCTCACCTCATTTCCCAGCAAGCACCTGCCTCTGCCTGAGCAGCTGGTGTGTAGTAGGTGCTCAGTAAACTACTGGGCTGCCTCATGTTGCCCTGGGAAGTAGGAAGGTGGGGATTTGAATTGGGAGCTGGCTGCTAGCTCCTCAGGCTTCCGCTGGCTGCATCCATTCTCTTCATCAGTAAAATGAGGGAGTTGGACTCATTCCCGAAATGGTTATTAGGGGCCTGGGCTGTGCCTGGGTGTGGGATGGG